AATCCACCCTGCACGTTTCTCGTCGTGCTCCAGCAGCATATGGAGCATGGTGCGGTGTGCCTGACTGGTGATTCGCAGAGCGCGCGCCAGGAGACGCTCGAGCAGCGCGGGAGGCATCCAAAACGTGAGCTGAGCGACTGACGTGTCGTACGTCAGAATCTTTATCATGTCGTCGACTATAGCCTGGCCGGCAACAGGCGAGCGCGCAGGAAGCATATAACAGAGAAGTAGGGTTAGTTGGAGAATAACGCAGACGTCCAGTTTTTTTTAACAAATGGAAAAGTCGCACCGCCAGATGCTCAATCACGAACCTTGAACCCGTCGTCAATATTCGGGAAGAACACGTGCGCCTCCTGAAGACGGTCGGCCCAGTTGGCATCCCAAAAACGTTTGGCCCAAAAAGCTCCCCCCAGGTTACCCACAGCTTACCCCCTGGGGGGGTACCTCGGGGTACCCCTAGGTAACCCGCGGGTGACCTCTGCAGCTTTCACTTCGCGTGGTGACCCCGAGGTCTCCCACAGGTGGTGACCCACGGGAAACCCCTCCCAACCTATCGGAACGAATCACACGCGAGCCGCTCCTCGCTGTAAAATGCATCGCCAACACTTTGAGTTTGGCTACAGTAGACTAACGACACTAGAATAAAACCGTCAAACATATTTCACAAACCTGAAAGTAGCATTCCGTTATAGCTCTATAACTTTTGATAAATACGATACCTAATCCTGCTTCTATATCATTTTGCAAGAATGATCCTACTTTTAGCAGTTACCAAATTCACTTTATATATTATACCCGTTTGCAATAATTATCACTTCCAATATTCAATCTGCACATTAAAGTACAACATTGCAGAACACAATTACTATTTTTAACACTTTCTAACATGCAAACAACGTCCACCCTACACACAGCACGTTATAACTATTGACACTCACTTAGGAGAGCTCCCGCACAGACCTCACTACCCATGTTTAATTATGTGCTCCTGCAACACACGAGACATACAAAAACAAGAACAAAACAGATAGCATGTTCTTACCTCACGAATACGTGATATAGGGTGACAAGATCGCCATCCGTATTCTGCAGAGAGTGGCGATATTCAGTCGGGGAGGGTGGGGTAAGAGTGAGGAATGCGTAGTTTAAATGACTTTGCGACAAAGCCAATGAAAAGGAATGACACAAGTCCTGTGACAGGGAGAGTGCACGAGGAAACCTGGCTGCTGATGAAGAAAACGGTGACAATGAAAGCCATGAAGCAAACGGAATGAGCGGCGCTCTTCCTGCAACCCCACCGTACAGCATTTTAGCTTACCTCACGAGGAGCACTAGGAGATTCACTGAACAAAGATTCTTAGGTCGATACGCGTCGACGTCGAAAAACCACGCTTTGCTCCTCGTGTTCGATAATCTGCCATGAAGAACCGATCATGAAATAACAGAGATTAGTGCATGTCATTCAAGCAACGGCAACATATAAAGTACTATGACGTCGCTGGTCAAAAAGAGACTTGACCTAATTCCTAAACTTAAACGCGAAACTTAACCACCATTAGAATCTGACCAGAGCTAATCGCGACAAGCTGCTACTAGTTCAAGTAAGCTGCCTGGAGCTCTCATAGTAGCTGCTCTACGTGAGTATCACGAGCTGAAAACGACCTTAGAAATGACGAGTGGATAACAGGAAGGATAAAAATAAGTACTCAAAAGGTGCTGGGAGAGGAGAGGCAGTAGCAGGTGGTGTCGAAAGCTCCGATTGGTTGGTGAACTGAATTGTGCCACGTAACCCAACCCATCACTGTACCTACCATGTATTGAGCGATGCGATAGTAAACTGAGAATCAGAGAAGAAACAACCGTGATTTATCAATTCGACATCACGAGAAACGAAGTGTACAGTAAAAGAATGCCGTGCCATTCCCGTACGTGGCTGCCTTGGCAGAAACAGAATAGCGACAAAATAGGCAGGGCCATGAACTTTCCCGCCAAAGTTGGGGAACCTCGGGGTACCCTCCCGAACTGTGCAGCTTTCTGATTGGTCTAATTTTCTGTTACACGTTCTGAGCTAAGGTTGGCGGTCGTCGCTGACGTCGCCAGTGTCTGGGGGTAAGCTGTCGGTAACTCATAGGGAACTTGTGGGTCACCCCGTGAGGGTGACTCTGGGGTCACCATCATTCTCGAAGTGATTTCGGCGTTTCGATTTTTGGGCCGGGCCATACCAGGCGTGGCTCGACCCCTGGTGTTCGCCCGTCGAATCTCACGGGCGAGAGCCACTTCCACCATGGGCGCCCGTGTCTCGCCTGTTACCTCTGCCTGTCGCCCGCTGACGCGGCCCGCAGCTGTGCGTTGGCGTGATGGCGCGGGCTCATCCACTGCGACGTCACATGCGCAAGCGGCCCGTGGCGCGTCACGCGGAGCTGAAGGGCTCCTGGCCGGGCCGCGATTCCCCTTGAGCCTCTCAATCGTCTGGTTCGGCTCGTGAATATGACGTTCCTGCTCCGCGACCCGGGCGGCAATCGCAGCGTCGATCGACACGTCAGCAGTGGATGGCGCATGTGTGGTGTTAGCCGTGCGGCGGTTCCCTGTGGGCCCACGCCCACTGGGGCGCTGCTCCTCTGCAGTGGCCTGGCTCGATGACGCCATCACCTCGGATATAGGGCGGTGCTCGCGGCCTTCAGCTGCGAGACGAGAGGTCAAGAGAACGCATCCGACCAAGCGCGTGTAAGACCGTCAGTGTAAAAACATGTTGCGCACATTCACAAGCATAGTATTACTGTCTCCTCGTACATAGCATTCACAAACATACTACCTTCAGCCTCCTCGTCCACAGGGAGTTCTTCAGGCATCCAGCTGTCCTCCTTGTCGTCATCGTCCTCCACGTCCAGGCGGTCTTCCTGGCGGTCCGCCCACGGCAGGTACTCGGTCTCTGTTTCTGCACGCGGCTCGTTGCCAGGCGTGGTGTCTTCGGATGTAGACGGTACGCGACCGGCATGTCCGCCGGTGCAAGGAGATTGAGTTCCACAGCCATAATACACCATGTCGTCACTCGAGTTCCGCACGCCGGCATTGCTCCTGCCAGAGCGCCTGACAGGTGAGTACGGAGAAGGTGCAGGCTCCATCATCAACTGTGTTGAGCTAGACTAGAATGTTACGGGAACATATGACAGTGCCATACAACGGTCTTCTTAAAAATACCCACCGTCGCAAGGACATCTCGCGGATAAGGTTACAGCCTAGATGACCGCGCCTAGCTGGCAACGTCATCTCTGAAATATCTGCATTCGCACCAATAGAAACGCCGGGCGGTGTCTACACAGTACGTCTTTGACGTCCACGTGAGATTATCTTTAACAACGCGGACAGTTTCCGCCGTGCTCTCGAATGGATATTTCATAGCTTGGATGGCAGGGTGGATAGCGGATTGCGCGGGAAACACCCGCGCGTGTCCCTCACGCATGTAAGGCTGGGTCATTTTGACATATCAGGAAGGAACTAATCGTGTCATACGGCCGCACCGTAGTTGCACCAGCCAATCCGGCATGGCCTATCAGGTAGACACGGCTTGTCGTGGAAGGGGCATATGTGCTGGGTGTCGTGACTGTGTACCATCCGTTCTTTGCCAGCGCAACTGAGCCGTTCATGACATGCGAAAATTGCCTGTACTGGTAGAGCTTTGGCTGCTCGATCTTGAACTGACAGTAGACCCACTGTGCATCCTCCGCGCGGAAAAAATGTAGCGGCCATGTTCAAGCTGCGCACGGAACCAAGAGGGTGAATAAGAGGAGCTCAGCGTATTTCACCTAAGTTGCCATGTTGAGATACTTACCACCCACCCTTCACTCATCGCGAAGTGCATGAGATATGTTTGATAATCAAGCCTTGACGCAACAAGGTTGTGCAGGCTGGTTGCAGTGTAATCTACTTTCCGGTGTCCACATCGAATGATGCGCAAAAACGCATCTGCCTGAGAGTGGATGGTTTTGGTGTCACGTGCATCGCGCAACACCGCGCAGATACGCGCGTTGTCAATGAAGGACAGCGCAACGCCATGCCCGCCGCAGCGTGCAGCCCGCAAAGCCTGTAGGGCGTCCTCCCTTTGAGTAGCCGCTCGGATATGACGGGACGGCACGAGATGCTCGATGCTTCTGGTCAACTTACGTGGCGTCGGAACATCACCATTGTCGAAGATGCGCGTGAATTCGTGTTGCATCAGAACTGCTGCGATCTCTGGGAAGTCGCAAACAAGGACTGCAACAGAAGGCGGGCGGGTGAGACAGTTGCGAACCCTGGGCCACCTTGGACCAGCATATCTTGTCGATTCATAGCGTCTACTTCCGTCCCTCGCGCAGCGCCAACCACTTTTTCCAGATTCAACGTCGCCCTTGGGAATCACGGACGCCATGATGGCAAGAATTTTGGGATGTTGCAAGTTTCTCTGTCAGGTTGAGACATTGCAGGGTTTGGCATAAAATGCGAAGCCTTTGACATTGTAAAATTGCGCCTTGGGGAATTGACGATTTGGCGAAACTTACGAATACGCATGAGCACAGTAATGTAGCTCGGTTGATATGTTTCGCAGCCATCGTACAGACCCCTATCCAAGTCAGCATATTTGCCCCGCATGCTGTGTCATTGTCGTGCTCCCATAAGTTGGCATGGGTTGTGGAGATCTGCCACATCCCGTTAACGACCAATCATTTACACTGCCTTCGCGGCATTCGACACAGTTCCGCCCCCCATCCTCGTTGGAAACTCAGTTGACCAATACCGCACGTGTTTGACACAGTTTTGGATTCGTTTTGATAACCTTGGCGCAGTTGTATCCACTCAGCTTTACTCGTAGCTACCGTAAAACAGCCAAGCCACTGTAATCCTCTCCAAGTATATTAACCGAGGTACTGCACGTGTTAGAAGGACATGGTTTTATCTCGCCAAGGGCACATCCTCACCAACAACACCCTCAATATACGTATGAGATCATCCTGCTGGGGTTTCAAATGCCCAGGCAATTGGCTTTGTACGCCTGCGAGCGATGTAGGGACCGCTTTCGCTCTCGCACGACATTGTTTACTCACAAGCGTTGGAAGGAAGCCTGCATCATCCGTGCTTCACGCTTTATAAGGTCAACACCTGGCCATGGCGCGACTGCTGGCGGTGCGGGCGACGAGGCCGACCCTGCGCAGCTCACCGACGATGAGATGCCCGAGCTTAACTCAGACGACGAGGTGGATTTGCATGATGGTGCTACGGCACAGGGGCGCCAAGATGAGGTAAGCTTATTATTTGCTATGCGCAAACATGCATGTCGTTATCATTTGACTGCGGCCTGACGTCCTTGTTTGAAACATGCGCTCACATTCAGGAATTTGGCGACAAGGACGAGGAGACAGACGAGGAGGAACTCGCATCATCGGACGAGGAAGGGGATGCCGCTGTGCTTCTGGATGGTATTGAAAGTGCGCCCGAGGGCACGTTTCGCCCAGAGGAGAATTTCGACACCCTGATGGAGGTTTTCCGGTTCATTGTGGGCTGCAACAACGGAGTCGGTCTATCCAATGAAAGTACCGTGTGGCTACTGAACCTTTTGCGCGACTAGCGACTTGACCTGGAGCTGATTCGACACTGGCGCACTCTCTTTGCGGTGATACGGTTCGGCATGTCGCTGCTCATGTCGAGGCGCCAGTACGATACGATCCCGTTCACCATTCCAAGGTGGGATGGCGAGTTCCAAGTGATCCGTGCAAATGGGAGAGAGGTAAGCGCGCCTCTGCTATGTCAGAATCTGGTAGTTCAATACGGTGTTTGCTGCTCTCTAGTTCAGTAAACCCTGATGGAAGGCGGCTTTGCGGATGCACGCAGGCATTAATCGAGATTCTTGGGAATCCGGAGAACGCCGAAGGGTTCGTGCTCCGTCCACGACGGGTGAACAGTGCTGCAGGTCGAGTTTACACAACGCCAGAAACCACCACGTTCTGGGAGGAGGCTCAAGTGGCGGCGGAAATGGAGTATGGACCCGGCGTTGTGGTTGTTCCTCTTATCCTCTCGAGCGACGCGACGATTCTGAGCGGAAACGAGCGCACTAGAGTATGGGCGGTGTACCTCTCCATCGCAAACATCCCGCTGAGGAGGCGGTGGATGGACTGCGGGAAACTGCTTCTGGCGATGCTGCCGTTTCCGCCGCAGAACATGACACCCGCCATGAAGGTGGAGCTATTCCAGGCTGCCATGAAAATTGTTCTCGCAGACCTGATTGTCGCGAGCCACACGTAAGTACCAATCTGACGTTGCATGTTTTCATAGGGCTTTTCTGCATGAGTCCCAGGACTGAAAGGTACACTAGCTCGTGGTTCAGATTGCTTCTCTGTCCGCAAGTGTTGACTCTATGTGTTACGTTTTGGCTACAACCGCAAAAGTGGGCAGTAACCTGGCAGCCGAGGACCCGTTCGGGGTGGATCGCTTCTTCCTACCCTTGCTATTCTCCTACGTGGCCGACTACCCAGAGACCTGCAAGGTCTCATGCATGCAGCAACTCGGCTCTGCGATGCCGTGCTCCCTCTGCTACGTGGGGCGTGGTGATCTTCGCGACATGGACCGCGAACCGGCCAAGCACCGCATGGTGGAACAGCAGAAAGATCTGGTGCGCGATCACATGGAGGTGAAAGCGCACTTGACGATTCCTGTCTCGGTAACCGGTCCTACCTCAAGGCCTAACACATGAAGTCTCGATGCGTGCTGACTTACACGTTTGTCTCTGTTATTACTTATTCGCTGTTCTCTCCTCCCCAACCCGTTCCATGCGTGTCAGAGCTTCTTGTGGGCATTCAACTTCAGTAGGTCCCTGTGGGGCAACACGTACCTATCGCAGATGCCCGATATACTGCATGCGATCTACATCGGCTTCTGGCTGTACATTCGGAGCATCCTACGCGGCAGCGCATGATGGCCAGGCGCAAGGATGAGTGAGTGTGATCGTGTTTGTGCTTGGGGCTGCCCAGTCTTGTGGGCAGCATGGTTTTTCCTATCTTGACCACAAATGGTATGGACACTGTCGTGGCAGGCGCATGACGAAGATGTACCCCGACGCTCGCCTGGCTGGCCTTCGCTCTCCAGGGTCTGGAAGCTACTGGGCTAGTGGCGCCAACTTCACTACAAGCAAGCATGCGTCGGCGATGATGGTGCGACTGACGCTTTCGTGGCAGAATGGCAGTTTTCCCATTAATGCTATGTGTATGTCGTGTGTCATGCATGTCTGACATAGACACTTGCCTCATCACAGCTTGCGCCGTTCGCGCTCGAGGGCGAGGGGGAGATCGTGTCCAGGCTGGTGCTGGTCACGATGCTCCAACGGCACGAGTCCGGCGTGTGAGCTCCGTATCACTCGGATACGTCGCTGGGAGATTTTGAGGAAGCTACGAAGAGGTGAACCCTGGTCTATCGCGCTTGAGTGGCGAATGCTCGCAGCCGGTACTAACATGTGGGTGTTTGTGTCCGCGGGATGATTCAGACGGTAGAGGACGTCTTCCCACGCGAAGGGGATGGGTGGAACCTGATTAAGGTCCACCTTCTCACACACGTGCCCGAATTGATCAGGAGGGGTGGACTCCCGCAGGAGTACTCGGCGGCCGTGTACGAGAACGCGCACATCCGCACGTGCAAGCTGTCGTACACAACATCTAACCACCGCCAGCCACTGCAGGCCATCGCCGCCCACAACGTGCGCGCCTCTGCGATGGCGCAACTGACCTTTGCTCTCCCAGCCCGCAGGCGCAACCAGACCGCGCTGACCCGGGTGAGAACGGTCAACATACTGGTTGCACGCAAAGACGTCAGTGCGCTCAGAGTTACTGGTATTTGTCCACGATGATTGTTTGTTTACTCGATCTGCATTGATGCAACCACACACAGGCCATCGCAACGGGCACCCCTGACGCTTGCGCGGAGGTCCCTCACTGCACGGCCCGACCACGAGAGCAACGCGGCCTCTGTCTTTGAGGAGATCGACATGGCCGTGGGGGGGCTCCTGTACTTCTACGACACTGTGATGCGCAACGCCGGCCTGCGGCCGTTCCCGGCATGGGTATGCGCCTAATCCCTATACGACCGTGGAGAGCATAGCCTGGGCATCCTAGTATAAGTGCGTTCCAGACATGCGTGCGTCTCGACTGGGCTTGGCGGATGCAATGCCGCAGAGTGTGCACCCCGCAATAGGGAGGCATGGTTTTCTACGCGTGACCCACGCATCTCCTATCCCCCCAACCTTTCACTCCTTACCTTACGTGCACCCCCGCCCATCAGTAGGTAGGTACCCTGTTCCGTCTTGCCGGGTTCACCCTATATAACCCCCCCCCCCCCCCCCCCCCCCCCCCCGCCCACCCTCCCCTTCCAAGCAACCAAATTTAAACTTGACGGATGTGGCCTCTGGTTGCTTGCCCTTGTCACCATGTATCTAACAAGCGCACACGGCCGTAGCTCTGCCGGCCTTCCCCGCTGGTTACGGGCACATCAAGCCCCACTACGCCCGTGCCGCTACATCTCTGCATGGCCACACGGCCTTCTCCTACATGGAGTACCTGTCTTCCGCTGGACATACCGTGTACGGACGACTAATCCTGCTACTGGATGCAGAGCGACCGCTGGATGACAGCAACTACGAGTCGGCAGAGGTGGCTGTGCTGCAGAGGCTGACCCAACAGGGGTGTGATGAGTGCATGGGTTGTCAGGTGCTCGGCCCGCCCGGGCGCTGTCGTCCCCATTGACAGGCTCAAGCGCGCTATCCACTGCGTCCCATCATTCGAAGAGAAGGACGTGTGGTTCCTGAACAAGTGGGCGTACCTGGTGAACCAGGAACTGAACTAGATGCAGGACACTAAGTAAGGGGTAGAGCCACCAAGCATCTATGCTCTTCCCAAGTCCCCAACATGCAGCCTACCACGCGCGTGCGCAGCTCGTGCCCCAAGTACTTCCAGCGACTTCAGCGTTAATGCTGCGCTCCATGTGGCAGCAGTTGTGGTATTTATGTTAGCTTATAAAATGCTCGCACTACAGAAATATTAGTATATTAGTGCCATAATGGCACGCGCTGTGATGTTTCCGTGTGTTTTGCGATTATAAGCATGATCCCTATATGTACAATAAAGCGGCATTAAACCTCTGTCAAAGACCCCCGTATGCCGGACAGACGGACTATACATTGTCACCCTGGAATTGGCCAGTGTAATACATTAGATGCTTTTGCGGGGGATCCCCAGACTATGACAGTGCTTTGAGACTGCCTGGACATACATATGAGATGCCACCCCCTAACATACCCTGGCATGCCCTCGATTCTGGGTCACGCGAGCCTCCGAATTCTTTGTGGAGTATCCTGTTGTGCTTGCATAGGGTTGCTAGTAACCTCGCCAGGATCGCGCGTCATTTTGTTCGAATCTCGCGGAATCTGCGGTTTCACTATCGTTCGACGAAGCACCACGAGCACTGTAAGACCATCCTACGGCTGCACTGTAAATTCGCGGTTTAGAATCCTCAGATTCTATTTCCGTTTATAGAAATTGTCTTGCGCGGAGACTCAGGCATTTCCCGTCATGTACGCTGCTCATGACGAAGAGGCAGCGATGCTGCAAGTCTAGCCATAGCCGCGCTCATGATCAGCTGGAATCAACGCGAACAATATCAACTCGGAATCTGAATCGCGGCAATCAGGAAGAAGGCAACGTAATCATTTGTGCCGGGGCTAATGGAATAGATTGTTGGTGGCTTGGCGTAGAAATGGATGCAACTCCGTGGTGCTATGCTCATTTAGCTAGTTCCCTAATGTGAGCTGTACGACATTCGTGAAATCAGGTCGCAACTATTACGAAGCACTGGTACTACACGTGCTTTCAGGAACGATTTGTTTTTTGTTAAGGTGAAAATTTCGTTCATCACTGGAGTTACAAACAACGTGATCAGGGTGTGTCACATAGGACGATCGATCGTCATTGGTATTGTTTTTAGCGGGGTTAGCATAGACTATGAGAGTTTTGGATGCGATAAACGTTATTTCAGTGCAGTAGCAGATCGACCTATGAAGCACACCCCAATTGAACTCTTGAATGACAAGCACTACTTGTGAAACACACCTCCGAACATATTTGACTCGAATAACAAGAGCAGAGAGGGAGCAAGGAGTTGGAGTTGTATATGGTAACCGAGCTGATAAAGTGGTTCGCGAATTCGTCATGAATCCCCCCAACAGCAGAGCCCTCAACTGGATGGAGGCACACACATGCAGCAAGCAGGCACGCCTAGGGGTTTTCGAACAGAGAACACAGCGAGCAGCACACCCGACAAGGATTGACCATGACACATCTGGATAAATCTAGGTGTTGAGATGGTTGAAAGTTGTATGTAGAGGATTCCTGGATGGTGCAACGGTGTGAAAGGCAGTAAGGTCAACCTCCAAGTTGGTTGATGAAGTGCCTTCTGGATCTGCATCTGTTCTGCTCTGTTCTTTGAATCTCCAGCCTTTCTACAAAACCCGTACTTAAATCATCTCAGCAGTCCTGATTAGTAATGGCTGCTCGATGTTGCAGTATGGAGCGCGCGCGCATAAACTCTCTTCCGACTCACCTTCTCGTGAAAATGTTTTGGCAAACCAACCAGCCCATATTAGGCGAATCTGAAATTGACTCTTACTATAAGTGCTTGAGTTCAAGGCCCAATTTCATCGGTGCATATCAGTCAGACTTTCGTCAAAAGAGCATCTCTCCCGTACAAGCGCCTCCTGCTTACGCAGATACCGCGTGGAATCTCCTCATTGCTTCCGTCTGCCGTGACTGGCGTCGCCTCGCTCGGCGCCACGTCAGCAGCCTTTCGGTCCGAGAGGATCTCGCTGTCTCTCGCGAAGATCTCGCCAACGCCATCAGTTGTTTCCCGAATCTGACCCACCTCCACTTGAATGACGGCAGTGTGGAGACAGTTGACGACTCTCTCTTCGCTCACCTTGCCGCCTTTTGCCCTAAGCTCAAGACCTTGCACGTGGGATCCAAGATCAACCTATTTCACGATAATTGTAATGATTTCATTGAACCCCCAGTCTCTGAAAACCCGCATCCAATAACTGAAGCCGGATTGGATCGGTTCTTCAGACGGTGCATAGAAATCGAGCAGCTTTCGCTCTTCTGCCTTTACGATAACGTCGATCTGCCGCCTTCGTTCCTCCAACTAACGCACATACGTACCCTTGTACTAACAGACTCTCCTGTTTTAGAAGTTCCAGCTTTTGCCGGTTTCGGTTCTCTCTCCACTCTCGTCGTAGCCTCACGGGACCTCAGTACGCAGCAATTCTTAGGCCTCCGCCATCTCCCTAACCTCTCCAGTCTTTCTATATCCCATCAGACCCTCCCGACTGTCGCTCTTTCTTCCCCACATCTACAGCTATCCAGTCTGACGTCGCTGCAAGTCAGTTGCCTCGGCCAATCATTGTACGAGTTGTTTCCTTCAGGCTCACCAGGAACCGATCTCCAACGGCTGGAAATTAGCTGGGGCAACCCTAGTGAGATTCTCCGCAGTGACATTGGAGATCTGATGCCGTGTCTGCGGGAGCTGAACCTTAACTTTTGCAGCCGCTTAACTGAGTTGCCAGAGGAATTCACCTCCCTCAAACGGTTGGAGAGCTTGCACATTGCTGCTTGCGACGCGTTTTCCTGCCTTCCAACAAACTTCGGCGGGTTTTCGGCTCTGAAATGGTTGAAGCTGAATACTCTGCCTCTCACAAACCTCCTTGATTCCCTTTGCTAGCTCACATCCCTGGAATTCCTCTCTCTCCTCGATTGCCAAGCGCTCCGCCAGCTACCAGCGGATTTTTGCTGCCTCAGTGCTCTTGAGACGTTTTATATTGGACACTCGCGGCTGTTGACGCTACCAGATGACATCGGAGGGCTCAGCAATCTGAAAACCCTACTCCTGGAAGAAACTTGTGAGGTGCAGCGTCTGCTCCCATCTTCCTTCACGCAGCTGTCTGCTCTGACACATCTTGAGCTTAATCACTCCAAGATTGGCGCTCTTCCTAATGACCTAGGGATGCTTAGTAACCTACAGCACCTGCATTTGAACTCCTGCCCGAATCTCTCAAGGCTTTCTTGTTCATTCTCAGGTCTCACTGGGTTGGAGATCCTAGTGATCTATAACTGCAATCGGCTTTCTTCAGTCCCAAGGCTGGATAGCTGCAAAAAACTGAAGCGCCTGGAACTGATTCATTGCACGGGGTTGGCCGAACCTCCTGCATCCCTCCCTCCCTCCCTGGAGATCCTAGCCATGCCGAGTTACCAGCAGGTCGTCCCGCGCTTCAATATGCCCAATTTTCCACATTTAAAGATTCTCACGCTCACTAAGGTGGATGCTGGAAGTAGCCTGGCAGCAGCCATGGGTGCGTCTCGACTGAGGCAGCTGAATCTGGAGCTGGTGGACGAAGCTTAGGATCTCCCTCACCCTTTCCGCTCCTGTCGCACCTCCACACGTTGCTGATTTGGGGAGTTCCGAAGGATGATGCGTATACTAGGAAGCTGACAAGGCTCCCTGAATGCATTGGGTCGTCTTTGCCAGAGGGCTTCCAGCAAATCAAGAATTCATGTTTGCGGGAGCCTCCGGCAAGCGTGCGTGAGCTGCATTGTTTGACGTCATTGGAGATTATAACCTCCAGTATCCTACCATCTCTGATGGCATCGCTGCACTGACTCGACTACGCAAGCTGGAAATGCGCGGTTGCAAGGCCCTGCAGCACTTGCCTGCTTCCCTCACCCGGCTCACATGCCTCCAGGACCTGGATGCTTCATACACCGGCATCCTCTCTCTCCCTTCCGGAGTTGGCCGACTGACCAGACTGAGGCGACTCAGTCTGAATCTCTGTGAGCATCTTAAAGCCCTACCGGAGGAAGTGACAGAGCTGAAGATGCTGCGCCACTTGGGTATTCACGAGTGAAAGCGCTTGTTTGTACCTGATGGCGTCTATAGGATGTATGGGCTGGAGATCAGCTTTGAAGCCCGTTCGTCAATGGAGTACGAAGATGCTTTGTTCTAGAGTTTGAAACGGACTTTGTCTAGAAGCTTTGT